TATTAAAAAAATGAAGAGAGATGTCAAACTTCACCTTGGTTTTATTGATAGTTTGAAAGAACTAAATAAAGAGGTAAGAGATGATTTAAATAAGAAAATAGCAGATAATATTAATAAAGCTTCTATCATTAATTTTGATATTATAATTAGTACATCTTTATTACATACTGACATGCCTTTTTTCAAAAAACATTTGCATGTTTATACTGTCTGGAATCATTTCTATCACTTTTAATATACATATAATTCTATATATAAATTTTGCATTATCTAAATTTTGTATGTGAAAATTGTAAAATACAATAAATTATTTCTTGCATCAGTTATCCAGGCTATTTCTGATTTTCTTGATGAGCAGTAAAACATATATCGATATTGCTCTCTATATACTATATGACAAACTTCTCATTTTATTAATAACTCAGTTCAATGAATTGAATGAGATTTTAGTATGTTTTGTAAAATCATTTGCAGCTATCAGCACAAACATACATCTTGTATCACCGTTTTCCAAATGGCAATTTAGCGTTAGGAAGCTTATCAATGATTCAATTGGGTTTAATGGTCAGAGTACAGAAAAGCGAAAATCAAGCAAAATATATACTGTATTAATGTTGCTAGCTAAAGTTTGGCTGTAAAGCTCATGTACTAACGTGCATTTATGATTCGAGAGTCGTTTTAATAAGATTCCGCGAGCATGAAGCTATTCTTTATTCCTTTTCACTAAATTGAAGAATATTTACTCGATAGACTGGAGAGATTGCAACTTTTTTATCTCGTTAACGATTGACACTTTCGATGGCGTAAAATAAGTTGCTCTCATAAATCAATTATGCGATGATGTGGTTTACTGTTCCCCCCCTTTATGTAAAATGTCGTGGAACGGATTCGGAGCGTTCCCGTGCGGAAATAATGCTCTTGCTTTCCGAACAACATTGTCCTTCATCAGAATTTTCGTTAGTATCCGTCATTTACAAATATGCATATATAAAAACGAACATCGAGATTTTCCATTACTTTCAAGAAATATAACGCCTCCAGCGTCTCTTGCAGAGAAGACAAATTACAGAGTTGATTCGGAAATGCAAACGTGGGACCCTCAAAGCCGAAGTACAGTCCTTCATCGAGTAAATCTATGCCAATAATTTGACCGTAGAGCTCTAATACAATGTTAGTGAGCATTAATCTACTTACCAGCAAATTGCAGCCCAATTACTACGGAATCTCCGACTGCTTCCTCGGATAGACTATTAATAAGGTATTTGTTAAGAACATGCTTGTTTGTCCTCAGAGATTTGCTACGGTCTTTGGTGATCTTGATGCGCGTGATCATTCGTGCACATTCGGAATGGCTAAGCTCGATGTCCTTCTCTCGACAAATAATCCTTAGATCAATTTTCCGACGAGTTCCCTTGCAAACCGTATCCCCCCTATGATGTTGCAAAATGAGCATACGATCCGACTGACAAGCCGACTAACACACTTACCATTTGAGTTGAAGTAGTTGCTGAACATCAGAGAAAATTATGTCCAGTATAGGGCCGATGACCTTGACTATATAGTCCATCTCGGATAGATTTTGCTTCTTGCCCTCCTTGCTCACGAAAACGTGAGGGTCCCTAAGGAACATGTCCAGGCTAATAAGAAAATTAAACACAATTTCAGTAAGATACGAGGTCACGGATACACACAAGCAGTTACAATACGTACACAAAAAAATAACATCTCATCACTTGTCGATATAAACATTCTGTTGGCTGATCCAACATAATACTGATAAGATGCGCAACACTGAATCATTTGGAAGAAACTAAATTACTCTGAGGTTCAACACGTCAACATGTAATTGGCATACGCACCTCCATGATTTTTTTGATGTCGGTTGTAATGTTACGGTCGGCGTCCACAATAGGGTTGGGAGAGCAATTAATTGCGTAGGTGTGTTCTGCCGAGAGGGGGTTTTTC